ACTGTGTAAGCTACCAATTAAATTAGGCTTTCTAACCAAACTATACTATTAAACAGAAGTTGTGATTGGGTTCATTCTTTATCAAATTACGTTTAAGCTCTAATTTAATTGCAATGTTCTATTGGGAAAGGATTTACACCTAATTCTAAAAATAAAATGTACTTTCCGGTAAGGTTCTGATCAAGTAGTTCCTTCTTGAGTCAATTGAAGCCTTATTGAAATTCAAACTGAATTTTAGAGAGCGGCCTTTGAGTACGAAAAGCGCTACGAAACACTGTTTTTTTAATGGTGTGTCTGACCATGGTAGTTCTGGGGCTGGTAAACACAAAACACAATTTTAGATCCTCTGAATTCTCTCCTGCTTAATATCTTTACCAAATTCTACCCACTGCCTAACTGAAGTTAACTAGAAACTATTAAGGAAAGGCTCCAATCAAGTTGTCTAAAGTGAATGAGATTTTCAGTTATGAAAATTCTATTTCAATATAAATGTTACACGGGAATTCCTTTTCCAACAGAATTGTCTGTGCAACGTGGTACGCATCTAAACAACTTGTAGTAAACATGTTCGGAACCTCTAAGTTCTTTCCTTTCGAAAATGTTTATCAAGTTCTTCTTAACTCCTACCTCACATTAAATCGAACTTAATAAGACTAGAACCCAAACATAAGTTTTGGCTTCAAGTAAAACTTAAATAATGTTTTTCTATTTCAAAATGTACGCTACACAGGGTATCCTGTCCAATGGAACTGTCGTTGCAGATCAGAAGGCATTTGGGACAACAACACCAAGGCTGTCACCGTCAGCAAGCTGTGCGCATTTGGGCAAAGATGCCATGGTCAAAATGCTGGAAAGCGTCTTGGCTGTTCAGAATGTTCCAAGCATGGTGACCATTCTGGATCTGTCACTGGATGTTGGTGATGTGGCGATGGCCTTTCTGCAGTTGCGCTCGGCCCTTCAGTTTCGCGCATAATTTGGTATTGCTAGCACGGATGATGACAAGGACTTCTTACGCGCATGGATGAATGGTGCCGTTTCAACTGGCTGGCTTGCGGGGGGCTGGGCTGGGCTGAGTGTGTGTTACTGACCGACTGAACACATGGCCGGTTGTGCTTGATTGTGTGACGCTTTCATTGATGGTGTTTGGCCCTCCACATGCAGATGACAATTTAACTTCGGGACTGACTTTCAAAAGAAATATGAGGAGTTGGAGCGGGAACTGGGGGATTTGAGGCCAACGTCCCAACACCCTCCATCCAAGACACGTGTGGGCATCACCGCTCCAATATGGAACAAGCTGGATGTTCTTGACCAGCTGCGGACGCACAGTCAGTTTCAGGACAAGGAGACATGGTGTTCCTCTGCAATCATAGCAAGGATTGCGCTTCTCCTGCGCTGCCGGGGTCAAGCGTGCTGACTGTGGAAGCAGTTGTTGAACAAAGGCGCACAGACCAGCCGCAAAAGGCGTCGGTCTCAACAGCTTAGCAATTTTGGGACCTCGAACTTCTTTCGTATTAACTTTGATTAATATATTTATCAAGTTCTACTTGTTTAGTTCTAATTAGAAGTAAACAAAATGTGATAAGGAACGGTCCAACCAGAGGAAACCATCTCTAGCTTACTGCACTAGGGTATGGATGTGAACTACACCAGCGCACTTGATCACAGAAGCCCTTGCAAACAGGCCGGAAACGGCAAAGTACAAAAAAGCTCCAGAAAACCAAGCAAAACATATTATGTCCCCTCAAGTCAGGACAGCTGACAAAGTCTTATTTTTTGTTGGTTTTCTCGAGGTTTTTGTGTTTTGGGAAAAGGGTGAAAAACCATGAGAAAACAAAAAACCAAGTCTACCCCCCCAAGCCAGGACATGTGACATAGTCTGGTTCTGCTTGGCTTGGTCTTCTCGAGCTTTTTTGTGTTCTTTGGAAAAGTGATGAAAAACCTCGGGGAAACCAAAGCAACCCCCAAACAAAAACAAGACTACCCTCCCCCCCCCCAGCCTGGACATGTGACATAGTCTTTTTTTGTCTTTGCTTTGCTGTTTTTGGTTTCTCTATTGTTTTTGGGAAAGTGTCAGACATGTCGTGGTTTTTGAATATAAACCATAGAAAAGCGCACGCTCAGGGTCTGTTAGAATACACCATGATGCGTAGAAAAACATATATAGATACGTAGTGTACACACACTACACACATTACATACATTACACACACACATACATACATACATGCGTTCCACTGCAGTACATGGCAGCACATCATACTACATTACAACACGTACATACAGTACAGTAAATTACACACATGCATACACTACAATACATAGCAAACATACATGAATACAGAGATACATTGCATTTCAGTCAATGCATACATGCATACATGCATACAAACGCTTACATACATACATAACATAACATACACACAGCCATGCAAACCTTACACTCAATTACTCCACGCTACATTACATACACACATGCGTACATACATAGCAGACATGACATGCATACATCACATCACATGGTGTCAAAATAAATTCAAAAGACTGCCAGGTCTACACCGTGATTTATGCAGATGACCTCCTACTCATAGGAATACAGAGCATCATCAACTCGCTCTTCAGCAGATTGCAGAAAGGAAGCGCTGCTAAGACACACAGGCGACCTAACAGTTGGATCAACAATACACTTTCTTGGCCAGAATCTCACTCAAGGCAACTACATTGACATCAGCTTGAACGACAACTACGTTGACATCATCCTGGAGGAGTCAAGCACGACTACACGCAACCCAGCACTATGACCAGGACTGTCACACATGAAAGGTACAGCAGAAGATAGAGCACCACTAGACCACGAACAACACAAGCAACACAGGCGGCTTGTTGGCAAGACACAATGGCTAGCGTACACACGACCAGACATCAGCTATGGACCAACGGAACTAGCAAGGCCACTACAAGCACCAACACAGTTTGACTACAAGAAGCTCAAGCGCATGATCAGGCACCTTAAGGGCACAAGGTACATGCGACGCAACTTGCGACCAAAAATGCAAACACAAGACAAGCGAACCCCGCTCAGCATCGACACACACACACAGATGCCAGCTGGGCATCGCGCGAGACAACAAGGAAGAGCGCAACAGGATTTGTGTTATACTTCGAGCAGCAGAACACTGGCAGCAGGACATAAGCAACAGTAGCACTTCCATCAGCAGAGCCAGAGCTACACGCAATTGGTACAGCAGCGCAAGAAAGCCTCTACATCAGCAACTTCCTCAAAGAAGCATTTGAAGTACGCATCAACATCAGGATGCACACAGACAGCAGCGCAGCAAAATCAATTGCAATGAGAGAAGGCACAGGAAAGAAAGCAAAGCGCATCGAGCTGCGACGCCTCTTCGTACAACTTGGAGCAAAACCATCACAATGCGCAAAATAAAAAACAACAACCCAGCAGACTTACTGACAAAGTTTGTCAGCTGTGACATCCTCAACAAGCACATGTACAATGTTGGCCTGTAAGGCCACACCACACTCAGTTTCCCACGGTATGTTAAACACCAGTTGCACAGTTCACACACACACGTTTGTTTTGCTACATATCAGCCGGCACATTTACAGTCTTTTAGGGCAGATACATAGCCATGGGTCCACCCTCGCTTTTGCAACTGCATCGACAATCCCGTTTACCTCTTGGGGAACATGTTTTGCATGACAGTCTGTTCTGCAGCCGTTTCTTGTTTACATCAGTTTGGTCTGGAGGTACATCTGCTTGTGCAAATCGCAATGGACATGCAGCCAATTACACCTTTGCCGACGATCGCACAGGCTCGCATGCCTGAGAGATAGAATGACCAGATGACCACATTGGTGGCAGACATCGGCTTTGTTCTACATTACATGGCATTACATGGCATTACATCGCATTACACTACATTCGTGGACGCATAAAAACATACATACGCGCGTGTGCATACACTACAGACACACAGGCATACATCACATTCATGCATTCATCTATACATTACAGACACACATTGCAAGACGTACTAACTTACATATGTACATAGCATTGCGTTACATACAAACATACATACAACAAACTACATCACCCACATACGCACATGCGTACAACCACACGCGCACACACCCACGCAACAATACAACACAATGCAACGCAATACATACGTACATACATACACACACATACATGAATACATACATACACACATATATAACATACATGTGTGACACCACGTGACATTACATGGCATTGCGGCGCGTTACATTCACACATACGCGCATGCACGCATACATACATACATACATACGTATTCATCGCACTCATACATAGATTGCATTACAGTACATTACATACACACATTGGCTTACACACATACATTCCACACCTACGTACATGCATGAACTACACACAAAATACATAAATACATGCGTTACATGCCACACACACATAACATGCGTTCGTGCGTGCCTACATACACACATACGTACAGACATGCGTGGCACGCATACATCGATTAAATACATACCACATGCATACACACACGAAATATCTACATGAAACAATGACATACATTGACACACATACAACACATTACACTACACTACATACATGCACACATACATACATACACACATACATGCGTGTATGCATGCGTGACATGCATACATGCGTACATGCGTGCATGCGTGCATGCATGCATGCCACACACATTACCTAAATTTATACAGAGTGTAACCAACGGGCGGTGAGGAGTCGACCGCAACACGGGCAGGAGAAAGCGACACATGCTAGGCACGCACAGTGAGACAACAAGCCACTGACGCTACGCTTGCCTTGCCATTTCGTGCATCTTCGTCAGCGCCAACTTTAATCAGGAAAACAAGTTATTGGACACACCTTCTGGTATATGGAACACACAAAACAGCCCAACCCCCTCATGCTGCGATTTCCACCCAGAACCACACACAAAAGCCTCCACCATGGACTTGTTCACCAGAAGCTGGCCGCTCTCCTTTTGCGCAAGGCGCAAGCACACACCGGGTCAAATCAAACTTCTTTGCCAGCCTGTCATACGCCAAACAATCACGTGGAAACTCAGCGGGGGCGCTTGTATAAGAGCTATATTGGAACAAATATGAACCTGAGCCCTTTGTTCTCATGCGCAGCCCGCCACAACATAAAGCCTTTCGCATTTGGTGTGCAGTTTCTATGCGCAAAGACCTGGCAGGTCTGGAGCAAGTCATGACACCACGCCAATGGAGAGGCGTGGGCCCAAAGAGCGCGAGACAACCTGGTGTGCTAGGAGCGGTGTCAAGGATTACTGCCGCATTTATCTGGCCATTGCGCCTGATGCCGATAACAAATTCTGTTGCGCCCGCAATGAAGCCAAGCCTTTGCGCGTAAATGGCTTGCATCAATGCTTTTCGACAATCGCACTCCAGCTTGACATTCCATTTGGCGGAGCCCAACTTGCCACTGCCAACATTTGGGTCACGCACCAAAAACGTTGCATTCGTGTTGTCACTGCTTTTAGATCCCCCAGCAGTCTGGCAACTCACTCCCTCCCTCCCTCACTCACCCTCACTCCTTCACTCACTCACTCACTCACTCACTCACTCACTCACGCACGCACGCACGCACGCACTCACTCACTCACTCCCTCCCTCCCTCCCTCCCCCTCCCTCCCTCCCTCCCTCCTCACTCCCTCCCTCCCTCACTGATGTTGCCTCCCTCCTCACTCCCTCCCTCCCTCCCTCACTGATGTTGCTTCGCAAACCGGACCCCCAGCCTGCGAGACGGTGCCCAGCATGGGCCTGGCTCGCGTGTGGCTGGCCAAGGAAACCGACAAACACGTTCCTTTTCTTTTGGCGCGTTGCCAGGGCCACTTGTTCGCGGCTGCGAAGCTCTCGGTTGCCTTGAAACAAGACGCTATTGGCCTGTCTCAGCTCGTCCGAAGCCATTTTTCTTCTTCACCTTCTTGCCGGCCGTGAACTTTGGCGGTTGGCCATGAAGGCCAACATCATTTTCCGGGCTGCTCCGACGCCAAACACGTAGCCGAGTCTGCCAACTGGCCAGGCGGACTTAGCAAGGGTGTAACTCAGGCTAGACTTTGCTTGCGGTCAGCAATCGGGTCAGGCATGTGGAGGTTCAAAAACTTTCTGCACGGACAAGGGGTGACTTGCGCACGCCAACACCAAGAACATACAAGCGCACGCCCAGCCCGTGTAGAACCTTGAAAGGGCGCAAGTGTCGCTGTCAATCCGTTCAAATTCCAGCTGCAACCGCGTCACTTCAATTCAGGCTCATGCCTCTTGATTTTGATAAGCTGTATATGTGTTATTGAGGCTAGTTACCTCCGCTACCCCGTCAATAACTTGCCTCCCGCGGCAAGCCGACTGGGATGACGAGGAGGTGACTGAGGCCGGGGCACAAGCGCTGGGTGGAGTGAGGATTGAAGTTTAACTTGTCGGGTCTTGCCAGTTGTTTTTAATTGACGCATGACATCTGGCACCTGCAGCAGAATGAAGAGAGACGACCCATCTCAGCAAAAATTACACGGAACCTTGCATTTTGCAACAGGCGTAGCGTGGATCAGCCTGTCGCAACATTTGGCACTTATTCAGCGCTTTCAGCTTCTCCAGCCAGCGCCACGACATGGCGCTTGCCAAGTCCTGACTGGCGCTTGTCCAGCTCCGAGCGTGTTCAGTGCTTCTTGCGCGCTTGTTCAGCGTGCGCTTGTTCAGCGCGTTCCACCAATTCCAATCTAGCCGGAGGCGTCGGATTCCATCAAGGCTGCAGAACCCACCACTGAGAAATAAGCCAACATCTTAAACACCAGAGGTTCGAGACAAGCAGGCAGCAGCTTGAGGGAGGTCATCATCAGCTGTGATGAGGGCACGGCCATCAAGGACCCTCATCTGCAAGCGCCGCAACATTCGCCGAGGGTCCACTTTGAATTGGCGTTTTGGCTCTCAAGGAAGAGAAACCAGATGCTGCTCCAGCAAGAAGCATGACCCCCGAGGAGACGAGATGAGGGGCCACTTCGAGCCGCCGGCTGACCAGCCACAAGCGGCAGACGGCGCATCGCTCGACCTGGTTTGTTCCAGGATGAGGCTGGCCTCTGCAGGGATCGGCAGCTGCTGCAAAGGCGTTCCCTCAACGCCTCCAAAAACTTGCAAAAAGCCCCGACCACCAGCAAAGCCATCTGGGCTTCGCTGCTCCTCCCAGTTGGCCCCAAGGCCTAGCCATCAACAGCTTCCTCTCCGACTCCTTGGCGCCCGCCGCGTATCACTTGCACGCGGTCACGGTCTGAAAGACGGCCGGGCCAAGCGGGAAGGATGTCTCCTCTCTCGACACCAGGCGTGTCCACCTCCAGACCGTAAAGGGCCAAGATCGCGATCACCGTGTCGATGGTGCACCGCCCCGCTGCCATGAAACACTTGCCGTTAAGGGCAACATGAAGGGGGCGCCGAGCGCGCTCCTTTTCCTAAAAGCCTTGATCCCACCGTTCTGGCTGCGCATGCGTGCTCTTGAACTGATTAGGGGGTGTTTTTGGGTGGCACGGTACCCGGTTAATCGCAGCCAAGAACAGTGCCACAGATCGAACAACAACTCCAGACTATACTAAATTTGCGCATCACTGCAGGAGGACGAACCTCAAGCCACTGTCTGGCAAGGGCCCACCCATACACACAAAGTGACAATCAATCAATCAATCAACCAATCAATCAATCAATCAATCAATCGATCAATCAATCAACCAATCAACCAATCAATCAATCAATCAATAAATCAATCAGTCAATCAATCAATCAATCAACCAACCGATCAATCAATCAACCAATCAATCAATCAACCAAATCAATCAAACACTCAACCAATCAATCAATCAATCAAACAACCACCAACCAGTCAATCAAACAATCAACCAAACAATCAACCAATCAACCAAACAACCAACCAACCAGTCACTCAACCAACCAACCAATCAATCAATCATTCAATCAACCAACCAACCAATCAAGTCAATCAAGTGAATCAAGTAAACCAAGTCAATCAAGTCAAACAATCAATCAATCAATCAATCAATCAATCAATCAATCAATCAATCAATCAAATCAATCAATCAATCAATCAATCAATCAATCAATCAATCAATCAATCAATCAGTCAATCAATCAACCAACCAATCAATCAATCGATCAATCTTTCCATCCATGCATCCATCTATCCATCAATCAATCAATCAACCAATCAATCAACCAACCAAGTCAACCAAGTCAATCAAGTCAACCAAGTCAAACAAGTCAAACAATCAATCAACCAACCAACCAGTCAATCAATCCATCCATCCACCCATCAATCAAACAATCAATCAAGCATCCGGTCAGCAAATCAAGCAAGCAAGCAAGCAAGCAAGCAAGCAAGCAAGCAACCAATCAATCAATCAATCGGGCAACCAACCAAATCAAATCAAATCAAATCAAAATGAAATCAACCAAGTCAACCAAATCAAAGAAATCAATCGATCAAGTAATCAATCAAGCAATCAGTCAATCAATCAACCAATCAATCAATCAATCATGTAGTGTTGTTGTAGATCTGGACCTGTTGCAGCTTGTAACCTCGGTTGCATGTGTTCACTTTGGAGCGGGATGCAAGGTCGAGGAGCTTGGTCAGGTCACAGCGCCAGGCGAGGATGTAAAGATCTGTTGTAATTGGCTGTAGCCAACTTCCCAGAGCTCATCAAGAACAGTGTAGTCATAACCGCGTCATGTGGGTTTGTTGTAAGCACCGTAAAGTCAAAAGACGGGGACGGAAGGTTGCCCGGAATGCACTTGATCTTCTCCAACGCCAAGGCTGTTGTTTCTCCCGCGAAAGAGATGTACTCATTGCTTTCTGTTGCGCATCTCACAAGTTCAAGTGTGACTGTGAGAATGTGTGCTATGTGGTATTGCCATAGTTTTGCCGATGATCCTAAGCCATACACGGCTTTGTTTAGCCGCCACATTGTGTGTCTGTTTTCTTCATTGTAGAACTCGTGCGGTGGCCTCATTCCAAGTTGTAGGAGCTTGCTGCTGCATGTAGGAATGCAACGCTGACATCTCCTCCGCAGACCGACCAGTTGTACACTAATGCCATTGTGAGAAGAACTCACAATGTGCAAAACAATGGTGCACTAGCAAGGGGTAGGTTGTGGTCTGTAACGGTTCTGTGTAGCCTTTTGCTACGATTCGCGCTCGTACTTTGTTGTGTTTTTGTTTAAGAACCCATCTTGATTCAATGGTGTTTGCTTGCTGTTCTGGTGTCACTGTGTTGCATTCAATTTCTGTAAAGACTGACTGGTCTTTCATTTGTTGTGCGTCCTTCTTCATGCCTTGCGCTACCTGTTGTGGGTCCAAGCCTTCTGTGTCATGTGTGATTGGCTCAAGTAGGATCCTCTCATTGTCAACTTCTTCTGTGTCCTCATTGGATGTTGTCTCCATTTGCCTGCCTTCTCTTGTTGAAATCTTGATGGCCTTGAGTCTCATTTTCCATTTTGGTTGTTGTGCTGTTGTAGGTCGCTCCAGCGTTTGTCTTTCTTTTGCGGCGCGCAGTTGCTTGCCTGTGCTGCCTTCTGCTACTGCGTCATCCCCTTCTCTCCCGTGTGATGAAGGCGGTAGTGCTGGCAACGCTGGTCGCTTCTGATGTGTTGGTGATGTCGCCATTGGTGATGTTGGTTCTGCTGTCCTCTTCTGCTTCGGTTGTTGATCACTCGACTGTGCTGCGCTCTGTCTCTTGCCTTCCGCTGATGCGCTTGTTGTGGTTCATCCTGTTGTGATGTAGGTGCTTTGCCTGCTGCTGGCATTGACAGTGGTGTTGTGAGAGTTGGTGTAGGCATTGCTGATGCTGGTGTCTTCCATGGACCTGCGTGTACACAGTCCAATAGTTGCTGGTTGTATTTGTGAGGCATTATCTGCCTTCTGATTGCCCTTGCTCTGACTATCTTGATGAGGGACTCGCCTTGTCGTATCCTTGCCAAGCCAGATCCCGTTGCAGGACCTCGGCTCCAGATTTGGAAACTGTTTCACTGTTGGAAGCATGTGTGGCACTGTCTCACCAAACTCGCAAAGTAATGTGTGGCGCTCTCTCTTCCATCTGTTGAAGTAGCTTGTGCATCCATTGCTGTGAACTGCATACCTGTTCACGATGTAGGCGCTGTGTCGAACTATCCAAGGCATGAGTAGGTTTTTTCTGTTGTAGTTTTGCCTGATTTGTGCCTGGTTGTTGTAGTATCCGTTGCCTTTTCCTTTGTTGCTGTACCCTTTTCCTTTGCCATATCCTTGTTGTCCTTTGAAAGGGTTTCCTTGTCGAACCGGTTGCTGATTGCACTTGCCTTTTCATCCTTTGTAGCTGTAGTTGTTTCCGTAGTTCCCGTAGCCTTTGCCTTTCTTGCGCCTTCCTTTGCCCTTGCGTTCGTTTTTCTTTCCTTTGCCTGTTTTGTACCATGCTGCTCCTATGTCCATCGGTGCCGGTTCTTGGTTGTTGCTGCCTGATGTGATTTCTCTTGTAGTCTGGTGAATGTTGCTGTTACATTGCTGTTGCTCTGTAGTATTCGATCACCATAGATCTGACCTGTGCATATGTGGTGAGGTTTCCTGCTTGCAGCTGTAGCTGTTGCTGTAGTGGACCTTTTGTCTCGTTGAGCAGTACTGCAGTTTGACTGCATCTGGTAGTAGTGTGTTGTTGCCTTGTTCGTACTTGGCGAGTTGGAACTCCCAAGTTGCGAAGCTCTCTTCAAACTTTTGTTCATTGAGTTGTGGTTTTAGCAGCC